TGCGTCGAGAGAGACATTTGCGAGTCGTATAAAGTTCTCGTGTGGAAAAGGCAAAGACGAACTCTGCCAGGGGGTAAAAATATGGTCGAGCAACGCAAGATCAACGTAACATCAGTGTTAGATCAACGTCAGATCGACGTTGAATCCACGTTACAGAAGCATCGCTTGTCAGCTGTTCCCAAGAAAGGGGCTACTTCACTACTATTCCCCTATTGCCTGCCTACTTGCTCCGCTCCTGTGCCAGGTAAGTTACGGGCTCACCATAGCCCGTGCTACATGGACACTTCGTCCTGAGTAGCTAAATCTTTAACAACAACAACATATTGCCTGCTTCACTTCACTAATAACAAGGAATGAGTGTGTTCCTACACCACGTGTGAGCTGGAAGATCCGCTGCATACATATAAGTATACACACACATACATATACCGACGAATACAAGCATGTATACATACACCGCGACACAAGGACGTATATTCTACGAAATACCTCACGAGATTGGCTGTCAAGATACACCTAGAACCTTAATCCATCAAACACTTTAGTCTACTACACTTACCAAACATGTATATCTTTCTTAAATAATTTATGAGCTAAGAAGTTGTATAAGAATATGGTTGTATAAGAATACGGTTGTATAAGAATATGACTTGTATAAAACAATAACCTTGTGGTTGTGAAATTCCCCCACACTCATAACCCCGTTTAATAACTAATACAGACTATATAGGCCGCTATGACGGACAAAGATGTAGCGTTTTCGTGAGTGGTCAGGACCAACCGGACTGTGATGGATATGTGGGGGCCTGCGGGACCCCCCAAGCAACAGCCTGTTGGACCAAGCTCTCACAAGTCAAGCCTGGCCTCGGGCCGGACTTGAGTGGAGTAGAACTCCCAGAACCCCATCAAGCAGCGGGTATCAACAGCTGGATCAAACTACTACTGTACGTCCTCTCTGACCCTTAAGCGGGGCTGTGTTATTCATTCCCAAAAATACCATTTCAGGTGCCTGGTGTTGGCGAGCCGCGAGGGGAGACGATGGAAGACCTGCACGGAGAGGTTCAACACCCGGCACCTGCAGGCCTCGTCAGGGCTGCCCCAGCACCACCACAACCAGGAACACGTCGTCCACGTCCTCCGCGACGTGTTCCGAGTCCACCTGTACCCTGGCGTCGACGGCTCCGAGGCCGCAATACACAATGTGAGTGTTTTCTATCCATCGAGTCCGATGAATAGAAAACGTAGCGTCACTGTTTTGGCGCGCTGCGAATGACCTGACTATTGCTGTGAACTACAGGTGTTAATTAATACACATACACACACGCCTCCTGCAGGTGTTAGAGGTACTATACTACCATCATCTCCCCCCCTGACGCAGGTGCTGGGCCTCCTGCAGATCAACCAGGTACCAACCAAGACGGCGTACGCGGAGGTCCAGGCGCTCTACCCGATGGCCTCCCTGGCCAGCCAGTCCTGCATGCCCAACACAAAACCGGTTTTCAGGGTCAGTCATGCAATTATCTATTACGTTATTGTTAGTATAAATAGTGTAATAGATGTGATGACCACACCACACATTACGACGACAACGTTTCGGTCCGTCCTGGACCGTTATCAAGCCGTGTGGTCCACGACAGATCGAAACGTCGTCGTTTTTTTCACTTTGTGTGGGTTTGGTCGTCGTATCTTCAGCCACGGTGTTGGGACTCATCGTCTGCGGTATAATAGATATTTAAATATATTCAGTACTGAAACTGTAGTTGAAGCTGCCTCGTAGGGGCCAATAGGACCTTCTGCAGTTGCCTTTGTTCTTATGACTCCAGGGCCTAAAGTCTATATTGTATCATCTGCTGCTTTTATGGTCTGGCAGGATGGACAGCTGACACTCAAAGCATCTGATCCCATCAGACGCGGGGAGCCCATCACAGCTATCTACACAGACATCCTGTGGGGAACGCGAGCCAGACGGGACCACCTTCGTCAGACTAGGCTTCTCTCCTGCAGCTGTCAGCGCTGTGCCGACCCAACAGAACTGGACACCTACTTCTCGGCCCTCGTCTGTCGTCGCTGTGGCAAGCTCGTCCTGCCTCCCAGTCCTCTCGATGACCTCGCCCCCTGGAGCTGCCTCGAGTGTTCCCTTCAGGTCTGTGTCACCAGGGGGGGACGGGGGGGGGCTGTAGAGGGGTCACAGCATCGTGTGTAAGGTCAGTCTGTGTCACATATGGGAATATAGCCAGAGCAGGGCAAGCAGAGCACGCCAAGGTTCAATAGGTCACTGTTTTAGGCTACGTCAGATCATGCTAGAACACTAGCTGCATCAGTAGGCTACGTCAGATCATGCTAGAACACTATCTGCATCAGTAGGCTACCTCAGATCATTCTAGAACACTAGCGGCATCAGTAGGCTACGTCAGATCATGCTAGAACACTAGCGGCATCAGTAGGCTACGTCAGATCATGCTAGAACACTAGCTGCATCAGTAGGCTACGTCAGATCATGCTAGAACACTAGCGGCATCAGTAGGCTACGTCAGATCATGCTAGAACACTAGCTGCATCAGTAGGCTACGTCAGATCATGCTAGAACACTAGCGACATCAGTAGGCTACGTCAGATCATGCTAGAACACTAGCTGCATCAGTAGGCTACGTCAGATCATGCTAGAACACTAGCTGCATCAGTAGGCTACGTCAGATCATGCTAGAACACTAGCGACATCAGTAGGCTACATCAAGACACTACTCTACCTCAGACAACAGAGGTCTGTAATCTGTCATAAATTAACAAAAAAACTGTCTACACCACTACTGCAGTGATACTGACATACTTGTGTTTATTTCTAGGACCTGCCTAGTATGGGCCAATAGGAGTTCATTCAACGACTAATGAACTCTTTCACACTCCTAAAATTAGGATCCGACACCTAAACTGAACCAACGACGTCAACAAATGTTCCTTTTGGCGCCTGTTTGACAGAGGCGGAAATATTTTCATGTGTTTGGCCCCTCCTACAGGTTAGTGTGGAAGAGGTGCTGGGAACGAACCTGGCGCTGGGGGCGGCAGTGGAGGTGGCGCTGGCCGGCCCCACCATCGCCACGCTGGAGGCGCTGCAGGAGGAGTGGTTGACGAGGGTCCACACCAACCACTACCATCTTCACGCCGTCAAGCACTCCCTTCTCCAGCTCTACGGCAGGTCCAAGGAGAGGGCTACGGAGAAGGTGAGAGAGAGAGAGAGAGAGAGAGAGAGAGAGAGAGAGAGAGAGAGAGAGAGAGAGAGAGAGAGAGAGAGAGAGAGAGAGAGAGAGAGAGAGAGAGAGAGAGAGAGAAAGAGAGAAACAATCAGAAATCACAACCCACCTCTCAACAACTTAATACACCGTATTTTAACGTTCTCGACCACACCATCATACACACACACATACACTGTGTTTGTTTACCCGCAGGAGAAGGACGCGGCCCACTGGCTGGAGATCGCCAAGAAGGAGAAGGCGTGCAAAGAGTTCCTGACGGTGTGCTCGCGCCTCGACCCCTCGACGGCCCAGACCATCCCCTTCGTCGGCCTCACCTTCTACGAGTACCACAAGACCATCCTTCAGAACGCCCAGCGCTACTTCGGCCAGAACAAACTGACGACGCAGCAGCTCAAGAAGAGGATGCTGCTGTCCAAGGCGCTCCTGAAGAAGGCGATGGAGATCTTCAGGCACGAGGCCGAGGACACGCCCGAGGGGCAGCTGTACCTCACTTGCGAGCAGGAGGTTATCCGGATTGGCAAGTGGATGCTGGCGGTGGGGCTGGTGTGAGGTGTGTGTGTGTGTGTGTGTGTGTGTGTGTGTGTGTGTGTGTGTGTGTGTGTGTGTGTGTGTGTGTGTGTGTGTGTGTGTGTGTGTGTGTGTGTGTTTGCGCGCTCTCATCTATTTATGCATTTGTGTGTCCAGATTCAAGCTCTAGCTCCTGGACGCCGCTTTTCTCGCCGCCTGTTGACTGAAAATACAATGACTCCTGACCTATTTCCCTATCATATCAAACTTCTAGAGTTATGAATGGAGTTTGCCTCTACAACCTTCTCCTTTAGTTCTTTCCATTTCCTAACTTCTAAAATTTCCTAACATCTCTGTGGCTCATCTGAGTCTCAAGTTTCCGTCCATGACCCCCTTGTTTTGTTGGTATTTATTGTGGACATTTCCTCCTTTTCCACTTTGTCAATCCCCCACTAAGTATTTAGTATGTCTCTCCTCTTTCTCTTCCTTTCTAGCGTCATCAAGTTTAGTTTTAGAGAGAGAGAAAGAGAGAGAGAGAGAGAGAGAGAGAGAGAGAGAGAGAGAGAGAGAGAGAGAGAGAGAGAGAGAGAGAGAGAGAGAGAGAGAGAGAGAGAGAGAGAGAGAGAGAGAGAGAGAGAGATATTAGATGCATGAGAAATAACCTAGATGATAAATAAGATGGATCTGCACAACAGTTGCAGAATAGCCGGGACATTGTCACGGCCAAAGTCGAGTTTCTTTTATTTTTTAACCCAGGACAGAGTAAAGGTAACCCAGGACAAAGTTTTCAACCCAAAGGACAAGTAACCCCCGGTTACTTGTCCTCGTATATCGCCGTAGTCTTCACAGTATAGCTCAATGTTCCTTGTCAAAGAAAGTAAACAAGAATTTTCAAATAAAAATGTTAAGTAAAAAAAAATATGTTTTATTTGTGTCTGAAGTAAAGTTCTATTTTTTTTATAAATGAATGCGTACATATGATACAGTAGACAATGTGTACACAATCTAAAACATGGCTCATAAGATGTGTTGGAGGCGGACTCCATACACGGGTTGTGGGGTGATGGAGGCAGACTCCATGTGACAGAGACCAAATTGTTTGAGAGCCTACAGTACACCAGTTAAATTGAAACTCGAGAGGTGGGACCCACAAGCTTAAGCCCAACTGACACAGCACACAGCTTGGTGAGTAACTTGAGCCAAAGTGAAATTTACTCCAGTTTCTCCATCAGCATCCTATTATGCAGGAAGAATCTCACGTCTGTGGGTCATCCAATAGGATTGGTTATAGCAGACTTCTGGATGTCACCACTGCTAGACTTAGGCTCGGCTACAAGTACCTCTGGGACTTTGCACCACCTGCTGATGTAGACTTGACTAAATGTAAACTCTGTCTGCGGGACTGTTAACATTTATTTATTTATTTATTTATTTATTTATTTATTTATTTATATACAAGAAGGTACATATTGGGTTTGTGAGAATACATAGCATAGTACAGTAATTGCACTCTTGTAAACCACTAGTACGCGCAGCGTTTCGGGCAGGTCCTTAATCTAACAGATAATTTTAAGTAGGTAAATTCTATCAGAATTATTAAAATGATAACAATGATAACATGCGCGTCATTATATAATTGAATGCGAAAAAATAGCAGAATACAGAGATAACTCTGTCAATGGTGTTCACAAAATGTGTATATACTTCATTCATAATGATGTGCTGCCAGGAAACTTAGCCAAGTATCCAAAGTTTGCTTACTGTAGGTGCAGCCTGCATATATGACTGTAAATTAAGCTGCCGTCCAGTTGGGTGGACGTGGAGTAGGAATACTGAGTAATTGACTCACCGCAGATGTAAACTGCTTTATACAGACACTCTTGTAGGCCACTTCTTGAATCACTTGTGATATAAAAATACTATCGATATATGTATATGTATTTACATATGCACAGTCCCCAAACGGTGCACAGTCTCCACAAGTTTCTGGTATTAACGCTTTCTTTGATAAGCCCTAACGACAACGTTTTCTTCAATGTCAAATTCGTGGGGATACTCCAGCTAGCCAGAATTTCAAATGCTTGAGATTTTTTTGAGAGAGGCTGGCGATGAGTCACAATAACGTGGCTAAATTATGTTGACCAGACCACACACTAGAAGGTGAAGGGACGACGACGTTTCGGTCCGTCCTAGACCATTCTCAAGTCGATTGTCACAATTGTCTTGAGAAACGTCTCGAGTCGGGCTAGGCTAGAGAGCCTAGCTCTAGCCTAGAGCCTAGCTCTAGCCTAGAGCCCAGAACAACTCCTTATAACTCTATGCCGCCTCATTTTATCACATATGACTCAACGTTGTAATTCTTAGGTACAAATAATATAGACACCAAAAGGTGTACACTGCTTCTCGGTGAGTACACACACTCAGAGTTTACTTTAGTCCTGGACATTGTTCAGGACTAAGGTATATATGCTGGTGTTATCCTAACATAACCTCGCTCAACCCAATCTATGCGAGGTTATGTTATCCTAACATAACCTCGCTTAACTTAACCTAACTTAACATAATCAAAACCACCTTCACTAAATGATATACAGCTTTAATAATAAAAAACGTGTGTGTACTACGGTGAGCATTATCTCCTAAATTTTGGCTCATAATCTCCAGGTTCAGTAAGAATTTCTTGAGAATTGATGCACTTTCTCATGTTCTATCACTAGACTATCTCATATTCGTTAATATCCCGTCCTTGAGCATATAAGAGTACAAATCAGATTTATAAATTGTAATATTGCTTATAGCTGATGTATGGTTCAATTTTCCTGGGGATATAACACTACACTTGTCAGTATTAAACCTGCATCAGCCGTAAGTACTCATATTTTCCAAATTTCAATCAGCTGTTAAAGTGTGAATCTATATCAGCATCATTAACAACCTTTAGATACATATTTCCTCACCTGTGAAAGGAAAATGAGCCAGCATGTCCTCGGGGTCACCCACACTCCACCATCATCAACCACCACGTACGTCTTATCACGTTCAGATATTGTCAACAATGAGCGCTATGACGTCACGGGCCTCTAGTATTGATATGCTCGAAGAGACAGACAAGAAACGTCTATTTATTACCAGAGGTCAGGCTGAATCGCTTAGCTATATGCAGTATTGACCTAAAGGTCTATCAGCCGCGGGAGGGTTATTAAGGTCACCACAATAGCTTACTGACTTAACTGTAGCCTCTGTTTAACCCAATAGTAAAATGGGTACCTGGTTGTTAAACGATTCTTCGTGGGGGTCGTATTCTAGGGAACATAAGATTAAGGACTTGCCCGAAACGCTGTGCGTACTAGTGGATGTACAAGAATGTAACAACTCTTGTATATATAAATAAAAAATATAAATAAACCAGCAGGTATACTTTAGCTCTGAACATAGTCCAGGACTAAAGAACACTGTATATTCAAAGAGAACCTGGGTATACCTTTCATTGTATATATATATATACCTTTTTTTTTGTTCTGTTTCGCAATTATTTATATTTGTAAAAAGGAGTAGGGGGGAGAGCCGAAGCATTTAGAGGTGCAGTTCGAACACAAGAAGTGAACGAAATAATGTTCGAGAAACGTTTGAACGTAATTAATCATGAATCCTGTTTAATGTGTATAATTTTGCTCATCGTCAAAAGAAAGACAAGGTAGTTCATATTTTATACACACAATATGTGTGCATAAAGTATGAACTACCCCAGTCGATAATAGTCCGTATTTTGTTTATTTGTCAATGTGACTGTGTTCGAGGTGTCTGAGATGTGTTCCAAGTGTTTGAGACTGTGACTCGAGACGTGCTTCGCTCACTTCCGGTCTGCACCGGAAACAACGTAACCAAAACACCTTAACTAACCTTACCTAGGCATAACTATCTATAAACCCATAATTGTAATTTCTGCTTAAGAACATATCTTTTGTTTTAATGCACTGTATGAAAGATTCATCTTGGCCGCCATGAACACATAATGTCATAGTGACGTCACACACCTTGTATACAAAAATAAAGGCGTATTTACTAAAAAATAAAGCAGTTTACTTGGTTCATAACCCAGGATCCCGGGTTCCATGAGAGACAGACGCTTTGGCCCGTCTATTTCCACCTGATCCCACAATTCACCTAGCAAGAAATATATACTAGGGAGTTTGGTCTTTAAACTGTTGTGAGTTGCATCCTGGAGAAGATCAGCAATAGTTAGCCTAGGGGGACCTCGATGAACCTATATACCAGGCTGCCTGTCCCGGACTATAGGAGAATCATAAAGTCAAAGATCTTTGTGATACAAATTCCAATAATGGAAACTACTGAGGTGATCACCGAATCAATATTTACCTGAATTTACCCGAGGGCCATCCTCGACGAGGGTAGGAAGCCGGCGGCTTGTCAAAGGTCTTGAAAGATATGACCATGATATCCTAGTACATATTATATATATAACGGCTATTTAACCCAGCACCGTCAACCATGACAGATATCTCAGTAGAGATATCTGCCCTCGGAGCCTATAGGCCTAGGCACCGAGCACTGTAAGCAGCAAGTGTTTACCTGAAGGCCACCCTCGACAAGGGCAGGAAGCCGGCGCCTTGTCAGTTCTGTTTCATTCGAGAACACACTCTTCCCTTCTGGTTGTGTGTGTGTTGGCCCTGGTGGTCAAGAGGAGAGTGTATATGCGCGCGCTGCCTCACGTGGTGGCCTGCTGGCTGCCATCTTCTGCCCCTCTCACACAACTATTTTGGTCGTGGCAGTGTGCGTCTCTCTCTGCTCTCGTCTCCTGCTGGTGCATGGCTCACTAACGTGTCCTCGGTGCTGCTTATTGTGACCAGTGCCCAGAGTGCAGTGAGGTGAGTATAGTGAGTTACAACTCCAGAGATGAGTAATTGAGCGGACACGAGGCTCTGTGAGTCACATCAGTGTACCTATACTTCCTGTGGAAGGTTATTATTTGTTCAAACTACCCTGTAAACTGACTAAAAGTAATCTCCCGACAACGAAATATTCCTTAGTGCTTACTTGACTTTCTGAGAGATGTTCTCCTTGGATGAGGCTATGGTCAGTCTGGCGCTCCGGTGGAGGGAACCAGTTATTCCTTGCTGTTCTGAAGAGTGACAAGGTCCTCATGATTTACGTATGAGATGCCGGATGGATGCGGGGGTACTGCATGAGGGGATGTGAGTGATTAATATATGCCTCATAAGTACATCATGACGACAGCCAGTGATCGATATGTCCTCAAAAATCAAGTGACTTACGGTTAATATATATAATTCCTCCCATTGAAGCGTCTTATTATAATCCTTATTATTTCTATTTTGTGCTGCTATATTTATTATTATTGTTATTATAATGTTTCCTCTATTTTTATTTTTTTGTTTGAAGGGTTAAGTGTTAAAGCCATGATGGTAGAGGCAGACGTTGAGTGAAGGGAATCAATTTGATCTCAGGGAGGCACAGAGGAACTGTGAGAGGACAGGCAGAGAGGTGGTGTGAGGGGGAGAGGCAGAGAGGAAGTATGAGGAGACGATGCAGTCTTCCCAACCGTAATAAAACTCTTAATATATTTTAGAAGCAAAATTTTCCTTCTCTGAATCCGTGCTGGTGTTTGCAAGGGGATAAATAAACTGTTTTAAACTATGAGTCTATTTTAAATCAGTCCACTCTCACTAGAAACCTGGACAGTATGCTTGTAGTTCAGTGGATCTTGCCTTCTCCCTTTCTTGTACCACATTAGCCATTTTCCAACAATCTGGTAGCTCTCAATTGCCAATGAGAAGTTGGATAATATCTAGTATACACAGTGCTTTCACTGCCTCTTTTACTTTCTCTTTTATAATGAAATAATTTACTAATTTTCTTACTTCTTGTGACACTTCAGTTTCAGTTGAGTCTTTCCTGTATTAGTGTCTTGTTCTCTGAAGGCTCTTTAGATCTAATGACAGGTTCCAGCTTGAAAACTTGTACTGTACTGCATTAAATACTTCACATATGTTATTATTCTCAGTATCCTCCCTTTCTTATGTAACCAAATAACCTGGTAATTTACAGTTTTCTTCTTCCTGGTGGTGCTATGATGCTGTTTAGATTGGTCCTTGGGTTTGCATGCTGTCATTCTCATACTGTATTTTACAGTACAGTGTACTGTATTTTTGTAATGCTGTATTTCACAGTAAGTGACAACTGGGCAAAGTAGTGCAGGAGGAGAGCTCACAGGAGCCAGGGCTGTTCTCGAGTATAACCAGAGTTCAAAACATGCTTGTCTGGGAGGGCTCCCCTTACTGACTTCCTGTTACATGGAGCCACTGAGGGAATCCACCAGGAGATATTTCATTACAATTAATGCTAGACTTTTTTAGTGTCTCTTGCTGCAGTACAAGACAGGTTTACTTGACAGGATGCCCGAGGCGCAAGGAGGCCTGTGTGAGGTGTGCAATAAGCCAGCTAAACAGTTCTGCTCCTCATGTCGATCAGTGTTCTACTGTTCCCGGGACTGTCAAAAACAGGATTGGAAGAACCACAAGGGAAGATGCAAACCATTTGTTGTCCAAAAGCACCCAATTTATGGAAGGTCAGTGTTGTTGTTGTAATGTATCATATATGAAAGCACTGTACTGTACAGTATAATTATTCCTTTCAGAAACTAAATCAAAATAATATACCAGTTATAGCATTTAAGGTAATTAAATATTGTATACAAATTGATAAAACATGGTACTTATGGAAACAGTTCCCCCACAGTCTTCATACAGTAAATTAGTGTTCTATATTCATGAATATCTATTTCAAACCTGTAGTAGTACTATAGATGTTAAACTTTATGCCATTGTACTTATCCACAATATATTTATCCAGCTCTTGGCTGCATATCCTTCATGTCACATATTCTTTAAACTCTTGCACTGAAGATCCATTGCATTATAAAACACTACTGGGTAATGAAACAAGACTTGATTGACTTTACCTTAGTTTTCTAACTTTACTTGAAAATATTAGAAAAGCTATAGTAGGAATTTAGATCTGAGGCCAGATACTGGAACGAATTAGGTTATTCATTGTCATGTTTTCCTCAGAACACAATGTGCTAATCATTTTACATCCATGTCCTCAATTGCTGCCGCACTTGGATAAATATAACCAAACAATGTCCTAACACTCTCATACCTGAACTTGGTAGGATTTAAACCCCGATCATCTTGCTTGCAAGACACTAACCACTACACAACAATGATGTATAAATAGATAAAATAAAATATAATTGCACAAAAAGTAAGACTTTCTTAAATTACTGGTCACTCTTTAATTAAAGTGATAACAGTTGTGTTTTCTGGAAAGGCCGTCTTTGGTAGCTTTGGAAAATAACCAAAGAAACCGACCAGATAGAGGCATTTTTAATATATTCAATGTTGGATTTTTCCCTCTGGGCTCATGCCTTTCCATCCCATCAAAGTGGGAAAAATTGGGTATTGTTTATGTAAATTATGCAGAACTTTAATACTTTTGTAGCATTTGGTGAATGCTTAAACATTTAGCTTACTGATTACTTAAATACTGTATTCTGATTGTATTATATATGCAGACAGATGTATTTGAGTGTATATATAATGTATACTGAGTTTATTATAATCCTGAACTGGCAGGAATTAAAATAATCTTGAAGAATAAAATGTAAGGCAGATTGCAAACTTAATGATCCTGGCAGTCAGTAGGTCTTAAGTTTTATCACCAAACTAAATAAAGTATTGTTGCACAGGCACATGGTAGCAACCCGTGACATACGTCCCGGGGAGGTGATCTTGAAGGAGACACCTCTAGTGGTAGGACCGAAGCAGAGGTCGTCCCCAGTGTGTCTTGGCTGCCACAAGGCCATCACTGGCACTTACACTTGTCCCAAGTGCCACTACCCACTCTGTGCACCTTCCTGTGAGATCTCAAAATACCACAAGGTAAGCTAATTGCTAATTAGCTTACCTAATCTCTAAACCTAATCTTGCGTTTCTTTTCAATTACTGTACAGTATTACAGTACTTTTCTCCTGATTAGCCAGATGTCTGTATACACACACAATTTATGCCATGATGTGTTTTGGGTTTAAAAATCTTAAATGACGATAAAATAATTTTCTTAGCATCTTATCATGATTAATAATAAGTCATTGTGCTGGGGGATAGATAGCCAGGGTACAGTATATAAGTACATGTTAGCTTATGTCGAAGTCCCCCGACCCCTCTAAGTCAAATTACAGATCCTCCCCAGGATGCAACCCTGCAACAAGCTAAGAAATTCCTGGGTACCTATTTATTGTTAGGTGAAGAGAAGCATGAGGTGATAGGAAACACATCCAACCATTTTTGTCCCACCTGGGATTCAAACCAGGAGTTCCTGATTGTGAGTTGAGAATGAACCCAAGGTTTGAACCATGGTCTCTGAAGCGGGACTGCCAAGTATTCTTCAGCATTGTGATATTTCCCATCATGCTCTTAAAATACCAGAGCAATTACCACCACCCACATGGTATGCCAATGAGCATTGTAGATTCTCTGATGCTTTTGCAGTCTCTACATTTTGCTATTTAAATATAACCCTCAATCTATAGTAAGTACAGTACAGTATTAATAATAATAATAATAATAATATTATTATTGAGAAAATCAGTAGAAGCCATGAAGAGGATTCAAACCTGCATACTGGGTACTGTACTCCCAAGTATATGCCCTAACCAACTTGGGAGTACCCAGGGTGCAGGTTCCAATCCTCATTATGGCTTCTACCGACTTTCTCATTAATACATCACATTAATGTGATTTCTCTGTGTGATGATGACGATGGTGGTGGTGGTGGTGATGATAAAATCAGTTGGACCAATGTTGGGAATCAAACCCTCGACCTGGGTACTCCCAACCTGTGCGCCTTGCCTCTAGACCACAACACGATATACGTTATGCAGCTTGGGTTCCACTGAATCTATAGGGCATCTGGAGGCCTCTAATGAAGCTAGTCCAGGTTTTATACACAACCCCGATGCACTCTGGATAGGACATGGGAGTTCTCCACCATATGTTCCCAGCATTGCTCTAGTTGATTTTCTCATTGATATATCACTTTAGTGTGACTTCCTTGTGAATAATAATGCAGTAATATTTTACAGCGAGTAGTTTCACTATAGTTTTTACATAGTAGATATTTATATTTCTGTATACAGTCACATCACCTGTAGCATTTCTGGCATCGTTGTTGTTAAATTGTACAGGGTGGTCAAGAAAGTCCTATATCATTGAAATATTAGAACATAGTAATAAAGAGACTGCAGAAGAAACCCTATTGACCCATATGAGGCAGCTCCTATTTAAGTAAATATTTTAATTTGTTTGCCTCTTCACTAATCATCCAAAGATTCTTTGTGATATCCTTCAGTAATGGTGCAAGATAATGCTTTAAAACTTTATGCAAGACATGTACTTGTTGATAATTCCGAGGATTGACGTCCCTACAGCCCAGTCTCTGACCAGGCCTTCTGGTTGGTGGTCTGGTCAACCAGGCTGTTCAGTGTGGCTGCTCACAGCCTTACGTATGAGTCACAGCCTGGATGATCAGGTACCCTTTGAAGGTGTTTATCAAAGTTCTCCTTTGAACACTGCAAGAGGTTGGCCAGTTATCCCCCGTATGTGGAGCATTTCTTAAATCAATATGCTTCATTTTATCAGCTATCTGATAGCACTACAGTATTTTGTTATAGTTGCCTTGATGTATCTTCCAAGAAAATTATCACAAGTGTAGATGTCCTTTCATCTTACTGCGAAAGTCACTGGTACAGCTGACAGCAGATCCACAACCAATCTGCTTGTTATAACGTAGACGAAATGCTATGCATGTTAGTGATTTTGCAAGAAAGTAAGAACACCAATGTTATGTACTCTCACAAATCCAATGTACCTTCTTGTATATAATAAATAGTTATTTTTTCTAGAAGTTTCTCATCGGCAGAACATAATGTGGTGGGGGTTGGGAGGTGAAGGGGTATAGCAATTCTGCAGCCATGTAATCTTTCGAGGTCCCAGCTTGTCATGGTTTTTCTTGCAATGCGAATTAGTCTTGTAACATTATTTTATTAGTGCGTCCATCATTGACACAGCCCAATTTGATAGGGACTGCATTCTAATACTATACTGACATCATGTTTGGTGGATTATTGCTTACAAATCACTGAGCCAGGAGTATAAGATCAGATGGACCACCCAGTATGGTTCACCAATTTTATATTTTTATTGAGTTTCCCCTTTCTCCATAGCACCTTTATTGCAGATTCAGTACTTTGTATACTATCACTGGTAAACTAACATGGTCTTCTTTCTCTGAACAGAACGAGTGTTCAATATTGGCTGGATCAGGAGCAAAAATCAAGATTGATAAGGTGGAGTCCGTACACCCTGCATATGAGTGTATTACACCCCTGCGTTGTCTTCTCTTGAAGGAAACCGACCCAAAGAAATGGGAGACCATCAATCAACTACAAGATCACATTAATAATATTAAAAACAGTGAAATGGATGCTGTTATTAAGAGAAACACTATTGATTACCTCAAGTAAATTTCCTGATTGAGATTTATTTTCTGTACAGAACTAACACGAAGTATATTCCGTATTTGCCGGCAGAGAGGACACATTGTTAAAATATGAAGTTTAAGCTGGATGTCAAAACTTACAGAAAAGAATATGGTAATAGGGATGCTGCATTTCAAAATCACTCACGATATATGTAAGATGAAACATGCAAATTTGTTATGTGAAATATCCTAAAATAGAGGTGTGTCTTATATGGCAACAAAAAATTCTAAAAAATAAATTCAATAAACTATAATAGAAGGAAAAATTATGGTCATATTAAAAATTGACGTTAGTAACACCAAATCTTACCATCTTGTTTTTTAATATTTTTTTGGCAATTTTGTTTATTCCAAAATGTGACAAAATTTCCTCACATACAAAGATACAGTATATCTCGCAGGATTCCTGCCAGTCTTTCTCAGAATTTCTATAAAAATACGATAAAATTAGACAAAGACAAATTGACTGCAAAGATGTCATCAAAGAGTATTCTGAATAAGGCCCTTTTTTAATTAGCCCAGCACAGTTATGTCTCTTTACTAGTCCAGTACTGTTGTTTAACTATATGACCAATGCAGTTACATCTCCCTACTAGACCAGTGCAGTTATGTTTCGCTACTAGACCAATACAGTTAAGTTCACTACCACACCAGTACTGGTACGTCTCGCTACTTGAGCAATTGCATCTCGTTACTAGATCAGTACAATTATGTCGCACTAGTAGACCAATACTGTTACACCTCGCAATTATATCAGTACAGTACAGTTGCATCTTGCTACTAGACCAGCACAGTTACCTATATCTATATTACTGTTAGACCAACAGTTATGTCAACAGACCAGTATAGTTATGTCTCGCTACTAGATCAGTGCAGTTACGTCTTATTACAAGATCTTTACAGTTACGGTACTTCTCATTCTTTGATATGCTTATGGCCAATCTTAAATGCTTCTTTGATATGCTTATGGCCAATCTTAAATGCTTCTTTGAACTTGCATACAATTCCTTACATTATTAATTTTAACTATCTGTCACCATTTTCTTCTCAAAGATATAAGAAGATATAAAGAACATATCTTTTTTTTCAAACATATCCCATATTTAGAGAAAGGTGTACATTGGTCATAATAAATCCTTTGTTTTTATAAAACCCAGAAATGGATGAATGGGTACAATGAAAAGAATAGGTCCACATTATATCTGATATAAAATTATAATTTGCAGATAAATTAAGAGGTTGCTAGAACATTAAAATTCACTCTAACCTCTTAATCTATTTTTTAATTTGTATGATATTATACTCTAATACCATATCAATATTTTATTTATCAACAGAAACTATATCAAGTACAATGGTGCAGAGAGTTCAGAAATATACCGCATGTGTGGCATACTACTGATCAACAGCTTTGAGTTGAAGCATAATGGTCAACGAGTACGTGGGATATACCCACAGGCAGCCATGATGGCACACGACTGTATCCCTAACACTAAACATGCTTTTGATGATGACTTGACACTAATATTACGAGCAACTGTTGTCATCCGCAAGGGCAACCCCATCACCAGCACCTATACCAACATCCTCTGGAATACGCTCCAACGTCGCAAACAGCTTCAGGTAGGCAAAATACATGATTATTAAGAAACAATTCTACAGAAATTGGTTAGGAAGAATTTCATCTATGTATGTGTTTTTCTGGAAGGAAAATTTGAAGGGCTATTAGGGAGGGAGGAAGGGAGCCACTGATGGGGATCCACCAGAAAGCGGCATTTCACTACATTCTACACTGAATATTTTATAGCTACAAAAATTATAATATGTCTTGAAATTTTTTGTGCAACTTCTTTTGTTTACTAATTTTCATGTAATTTTCTAATGGTCTTCCCAAACAGGTTACAAAACATTTCTTGTGCACTTGTCGGCGGTGCTCTGATCCTAAAGAGCTTGGAACACACCTGAGTACCCTCTTATGCAGCGAATGTGGAGCCCACATGTGGTCTACAGCACCTCTTGACAATGATGCCAGCTGGTCCTGTCAGAAATGCCCCAACACTATTTTAGGCAAAACAGTTTGTACCTTTTTCTTTAATCTTTGGCTTGTGTTTAAACAGCATGGCATCACCTGCTATAAAGACGAGAGAGATAGGGCTGGGGACATATCTTCTCTTTTAAAATTTTTCCTGAGTTCAGGAACTTGATCAGGTTGATGACAATGCTTCAGTTTTTTGCAAAGGGCGTATCTATTGCAGTGATCTCATGGGCATTGAGAAAAGTCAAGTTGTTGATGAAATTCAAAAGCTGACAAGTCAATATTGCATTGTTTTTATCACGCTAGCTTTAAGGAAAGTACTGTAGTTTACTTCGGGCTGCTTAACATTTAGTAAAAATACTCTCAGACAACATTTTGATAAACTATGTGAAATGTGACTTTATTTCTCTCTCCACTAAAGCCAAATGAAATGAAAGCAAAGCACCCTCCAATCCTTCGGATATTATCTCCACAATAAACATTCGGAAACAAAGTTGACAAGTAATTAATTATGTATCAAAAATAGGTGCTAAGCCCAGAAAGTTATTTAGCTCTCTTACAAAGCATTCAAGAGTTCCTAAATATTAATACAAGAGCACAAGGAGAAAGACCCAAGAGCAGTGTCAGAGCCAGATTCGTTGAGGATTTGTCGAGAAACGTCTGACTATGAATGCCCGTTAGATAATTGTGTGGCAAATACATAACCTAGCCAGAGATATTTTCTACTTCAGATTTATGAAAATCTCAACCCTGATAGTTTTTTCCACTTACACAATTTACCCACATTATGTTAAACCTAATTTCCTTTTAACAATAATAATAATAATAATTCATTGTGTCAGGAGACAGGAAGCCAGAGTGTAATCATACACGTTAGGCTTATATCGAGGTCCTCCCCAAAGTCATATCACTGACCCCGTCCAGGATGCAAGCCCACAACAAGCTGACTAACTCCTGAGTACCTACTTACTGCTAGGTGAACAAACTCATTAGGTGAAATAAAATGTGCCCAACCATTTCTGTCCTGCCCAGGATTTGAACCCGGAATTCTTGAGTGTGCGTCGAGAATGAATCGGACTATATTACCGGGACCCTCCAATATATAACTAATATAACTAATTATATTCTAATAACTTTTTCCTCAACTCACTCCTATTTTTATCTTAATTATAATTAGCTCCTTGATTGCCAGGTATCTAGTGATCTGCTCAAAAAAGTTACTTTGCCATATTTAATCAAACCTTATTTTTATACCTTAATTCGATTTACTTCAAATAAGTTAACTCGAAGCAATTAAAAGTTATTTGTTGTCTATGAATATCATTGGATAATTGTATAGTACTGTAATTTTATTACTAATGCCAACTTCAGTATTTGGTTAAAATTCTTATCACTATCTTTTCCCACTTAAAATCAACACTCAAAGGGAAGGCACGTTCTGACTGCTACCAAAATTATCTGGATATTGTACGCCACAATGAAAAAAAAATATTTCAAACAAATTGATTATTTTAGATTAGCTGTATTTGCCTTTTAACTATAACCAACCAGGTGTCCTGGGGTGACCAAATACTGTATAAAGAGCTCTGTGGAGTAGATCAACACTCAGCACGACAATTGGAGGAGTTCCTAGAGAATTATAAGAAAGCTCTCCATCCCAAACATCGCTTTTTTATGGAGGCCAAGTATGCCCTTGTCAAGTTCTATGGCAACCATCCGGAACATAGATATCGAGGTTAGTCATAGTCACAATCAACATATTTTTTTTTTTTCTGTTGGTCCTCATGTGTAGGTGCATGTACAGCATGTGTATTCGAGCTTAAGGCTATTCTCACTGTAATACAGCAGGCATTCAATCTGCAAGTAGTAAATAGTATTCAACAGGTATACCCGTATAACATAGTTATATGGGTATACTGTACCCATATAACTATTATATTGGCTATACCTATATAATGTAGTTTTCTGGGAGGATATCATCAACATACACATAAAAAAAAAAAAGAGTTTCTGAATATTATTAGAACTATAAAAGTAACAAGAAATGGGCTATAATGAACTGATCATGTCAACACCATGGACTATTAACTTAATTGCACTTAACTGCTACTTGTTTGTTTCCCTCCAAACATTTTATTTACAGATATGACGAGAGAACAGCTGGAGAGAAAAGTAGAGTACTGTCATGAGCTGTTGGAGTTGGCCGGCATCATAGATCCAGGCTTGAGTCTCTTCCGAGGCACATTACTCTTTGAGCTCCAAGGTGCTCTCGTGGCACAGGCGAGGCTGCTCCTGTCTAATGACGTCATTACTAAGGAAGGCACACAGGTAAACTGCACACAATAGTTATGAAATGTAATAATGGAGCCATTATCTCAGTTATACCACATTAGAGAAATCTGTTTCACTAGAACTCGGCACAACAGAAGGCATGCATGCACTCGGGAAAATGTAAGATAGGTTTTGGGTACAAAATGGGTTAAAGAACTAGACTTATAATATACTTTTAACTAAGATAATTGTGGTAGGAATAACATATTACCAATACTGTGTGCAAAATATTAAAAACTGTACAAAAACTTCCTGTATACTGTACCATGGTTGAGCATTTTCCTCTTGAGGTACAGTACTCTGCAGGTGGACCTCTACAAAGCCCTACAATTAGTAACGAAAAACAGTTACCCCTCCTTTCCTCACTTGTTTCCGAGCAATGGCTACCATCACAGCAGCGTCAAATTCATCTCCACTTCCATACTATGGTAGTATTACTCCATCCCCATAGCTTACTTTGGTAGTATTACTCTTCACCATTGTCTATTATTGTAGTATTACTACCCCTTATAGTGAAATGTTATTAAATTCTGTAACTTTATATTCCTTACCTGTGTCTCCTCTTCCCCCCCCCCCCCCCCATCTCTGCTGCATCTTGTTGCCGCTCATGGCTATGCTTGCTAAGGCAGACTGCCTGCTTTTTATACACGTTTCTCAATGCTGGTAAATGACGTCTACTTCATTTACAAGTTAGGAAAACTAATGTGGGATTTACTTACACATTTTTAGTATTCCATTAAATCTTCAACATTTGAAGACATCGAAATATTCCACATGTGGTCATGCCTTCAAGAAGGAAAAACCCCAATGTAATCCTGTGCAATTAAATAGAAGCCTTAAAGGTGTCATTAGATGAGCACTAAGATGAATTTGAAGGAAGTAGAATAGTGCAAACAGGAACTCGCAGATCCATTGCTTATCACAATGCAATGTGTCAAACAGTTCAAGTATGAGGTAAGTAACAACATCAGTACACCAACAGACATTGCCACAGCGTGAATACTATTTGGCTACAGGTGTCTCTTACAGATCAGCATGTATAGGGCTCTAGACGTAGTAAAATGCAAAGAATACATTTTTTTGTGAATACATTTAGCCATTTAGATGTAGTAAATCTAAACTCATGCTTCATGAAGTAGCAAGCTCTCTTATTATAAATAAAATACCTGAAATCCTTGCACTATATCTATATTTTGTTTCTAGTAGATAAATGCCAAATATGAGACTAATAAATAAGTTGTGTAGTGTGAAGACTAATAGTAATAAACAGCAGCTTTCACCAATGAAACTGTCTACCAACTGAAGCCATAAATGCCAACACATTACTACCGTTTAAAATCTGGTTGAAAAAAATACTTAGGAACAATTGCAGAACCTTTGACAAGTTGAAGGCTTCCTGTCCCTATCGAGGACACTAGATATGGTGGCCCTCAGGTACATTCAGATAAAATCAATGATCTTTGTTTTCCAACTAAAAATTTACGTGATTTTTTTTCCCCTAGGACTACATGACAGAAGCTGTAAAGTATCTGAAAGAAGCCTCAGAAATCCTCAAGCAAGAGCCGGAGATGGAGAAGGGCGGCTTGGATGCAAAGCTCAAAGTATTATCAGAAGAACTTGATATTTAGTGTCGATAAGCATATTTATAAAGGAATCTTTATGCAGGAAAATTAAAAAAAAAAAAAATATGCCCGACAAAAAAGACAAGACAATTTTACTGTAAGTTGTGGTTAGGTCAGGCATCTGTCTTTCTTACCAGTTAATTTTAAGAACGTATTAGCAAGTTAATATTCTTGTTATTTTTCTAGAATGTTGGGATTTGCTAAAATAATTTAGGATTTTTTTTTTAATCTTGGTAAAACCAGACTGCTGTAAAAATGTTATTAGCCCACAGGTAAATTAATATATAATAATAGAAATAATAAAACAGCTTTACACCATACAGAGTATAATTAGTGAGTTATCCTATAACCAGCAGATGTAGTGCACATAAACTTTTCTAAAACTTTTGATACATTACCACATTTAAGACTGGCACAAAAGCTGCAAGCATATGGAATAAACTGAAAAATTCTAAAGGAATAAAACAAAGAAAGGAAGGGTCGTTCTAAATGAAAGTGAATCCAACTGGCAAAATGTTGAGTAGAGTACGGCAAGGCTCCAAAATGGGGTTCCTTAGAACTAACACTGCCAACCAGACACAACAGGCCTGACCTCATTGAGACTTAAAATACTGATCAAATTGGAAGATAGTTACCTAAACTACTACTTTACAATGTCCGAAGTAATGTATACAATGGGTAACAGGCTCAAGCTCAACAAGCGACAATGTAGAACAAAACAGATGTTTTTTCACCCATATGGAAATAAACCCATGGAATTGCCTACATGCCGCAGCTGCTAAAGCGAAGACAGTACAGTACTCTGCTTCACAATTCAGCTGGAAAAAATCCTCAGGGATAATGGGAGGACCTGCGACAAGATACTGGATTCCTGTTACCCTCAAGGGCACTAGACATGGTGACCCTCAGGTAAATTGAATAAACAGGAATATATCCAAGATTTTGTTGCATCAGCTGTATACAAGTGTTCATAAAAACCAGTACAGGAATATATTTTCCAGATACTAAGGGCAGCTTTGATGCACCACAAGAAAGCACCAAGCCAGTATGTCTATAACAAAAATACTTTCCAGCTGCTGTGATGGGCACTATTTTCAAGTGGCAACACACAAATAACATGCAACATTTCATCAAGTGAGTAAATAAATAATTTCACAAAATATTACTGTATTGTACTGTACTTGCTAATTTTTCTAATTACTATTTATGCCTTTCCCATATATATATATACCTCGTCAAGGGTCAAGTGATCTTGTGCCCCAATAGCAGTGAGTTCAAAACTGTTCTATAAAGACATTGCAGTTCAGTGAATAGTCCTATATCCAGTATATCCATGGTTAATTCAATCAATAGTTCTATATATGTCACTGGTTAATTTGGATTTGCTTATATAAATACAAGTACTGAATGTTATTGGGGACACTTGTTTTTTTGCAAAGCTTGTGTATCTCATCAACTCCACAAGGAGAGGAATGAAAGGTATATAATAAAATAATATTTTTAATTAACACTTTATTAAATATAGAAATCTTTAGTTCTAGAAAATGTAACTATAATTCATATGCACAACTCTATCATTTTTAAATTATAAAAGGCAGGTATATCAAGTTATTTACGAACATGAAAGGCCCGGTGATGCCCACATCATCCTTATTTTAATGGTGGTCACTTCCTCACCTCAAGTGAGTAGATACAGAAGATAATATTTGTACTGAAAAGCACAAGTGATACCAAAACCCCCTGCCAGCATACCTCATAATAAAGAATTATGTAATATAATTTTTGAAATAGAAATCCTGCCCATCTCATGATACAAGCAAAATTTAGAAATATTATGTAAAAATCTACCATTTCACATGCACTGTATTACCCAGGTACACAATACCAGCCTACACCTGTATATAATATGGACAATGTGTACTAGTATACAAAGTTACTAGCCTTTCATTGGGGCATTGAATTCGAGCTGGTAAAACATAAAGCTATTGCTCTACCAACCAGGCCAGGATGCTCACAATAAGGTTACAGAAAATCACTTTCTCTCAAATAGAAATTTCAACCCTTTCTGGAGCACCACGATGGAATCTGATGATAATCCACCCTCTCATCCACATGTGAATTGTAAATCCACAATATAATTTGCAAAACTTTTATTCACCTTGAGGTTATCTTGAGATGATTTCGGGGCTTTAGTGTCCCCGCGGCCCGGTCCTCGACCAGGCCTCCACCCCCAGGAAGCAGCCTGTGACAGCTGACTAACACCCAGGTACCTATTTACTGCTAGGTAACAGGGGCATTCAGGGTGAAAGAAACTTTGCCCATTTGTTTCTGCCTCGTGCGGGAATCGAACCCGCGCCACAGAATTACAAATCCTGCGCGCTATCCACCAGGCTATGAGACCTGTCTCATCAGGAATTTAAATTCACCCAAATAAATTATGAGGCCATCAATCTACATTGTAATCTAGTCAGGTTACTTATTGCTCAAGTCACGTCATGTCTTCAGGACAGCCCGCCACTTATACTAGTCTGTCTGCTTGAGCATTCCCAACGTTGCTAAACTGTTGCACTAAAGTGCCCAAACGTAGCCAACACGAGGACCCATGAACAGAAAAAGGGGGCATCACATCAATTTTACAAGCCGCTACCATTTTTTGTACAGCAGTTTTTGGCATTAGGTAAAGTATATGTCAAAATGTGATGTGCTATTTGGAGCACGGGTTGTGTACTGATGTATGTTGTCCTTGTTATCTCATATTGACCTATCTTTCTCATCTGTCTTATATGTATTTTAGTTTATCTAATCATACATAATAAGCCTCTTATGATGTGTTGAACACAAAAACACTCCTGACAAATACAATATTCTTAAGTTTCTCTGTGGCTTTTTTTTTGCATTTATATGATCGCAAAGATTTTCTGCACATGTATGTGTGTGTGTATGTAACGGCAATAATAAACATTCTTGAAAATTGTCACCATTAACCAGTTTTCCCTGGAGTAGGGAAGCATTACCCCAAGAGTGATAAGGAAGAAACAGAGAATCAAAAAATTATAGATATTGGAAGATAACACCCGTCCAAATTGTCCAAATGCTACGGACAACATAGACATTAATTTATACATTTATTAAAATATAATTAGTCATACATTCCTGTATATATATCCTTGCATACATTCTTGAGTGAACATGTCAAATATTGATTTTGATTTGTATTAGACGAATTGATTCTAGCAATGGCTTTAATGTAGGTTACATTGCCTAATGTCACCAGGAAACTCAGTTTGATAATCAAACAGAAGTTGCATGTTTCAAGGTCATATGGTACCGTACTCTCATGTTATCACATGAATACGTACCAGAAATACAAAGCACGGCAAAACGCAGTATGCCTAATAATGTAATTAGAATCAGATTCCTTCACATGAATGTTTGTATTATTTTAGCGAACACCTATCAAATGTACTTTATGGTTACCATAATTCACCAGCTAGTAAGTCTGTATACGAGGAAAAGGCTTCACATGTTTACCCGAGTTCACTATCTGGAAAGTTTGCGAACAAAACTCACACAAATGTTTAATCATCAAGATTAAACACCATTCGTTTACCCTGGAACTCGTTGATGGACACTGACTGCTGCTTCTCACGTAACTTGGCCTGCCAAGATGGGTGCAAATTCTCCTGCTGGCCTATAGACGATGCTGCACCTACAGGAAATGAGACATTACTTGTAGGAACAAGTTACCTCTGACATGAGCACACTCATAATAGCCCAGTCACCCAGTATAGGTTTTGCTCCAGTTTTCAGTAATGAAAACTGTCTTGAATTGTTAGTTCTTTTTAAGTCTTGTGCAGTTCATACATTAACAAGAATTGCATAATTTAAAGCTATATTACAGTATAGAATATTTGTCAAAAGGTGACACAGGCAAACAAAAATTCATAGAAAGATAAAATTATCTAAATTAATAAATTATGCACAGCGTCACAACATCTTGGCAAGTTAGTAAGAAACTAAAATAGACCTAAGGGTCAGGGATGGGATTACAATTTAGAGCAATTCTAAGTCAGCTACATGAGAAAGCTTGCACCTCATTGGCTAAATTGAACCAGGTTTTCCAAGGAAAACAAAACCACACAAGAGAATTAAAAGCTTTGTTTTTTATCGAGCTGAATGTGGGAATTTTAGTAAAGTGGAGCTTGCAAGAAGCATTTAGTTCCAAGATGTTTCTCCAACATAAGCATCCCATATTCATCTTCGTTTCCTGTTAGTTCAGTACTGTATTTCTATGAGGCCAAGAACGTGTATTGGAGCTGGAGGAGTGTGCTGTGAAATACTCCAGGATGCTCCATGCTAACCACCACTAGCCCATGTCTCACGGCCATCTCTTCCCCTTTCACTACACTCTGTAAAATTCATCCTGCACAATGCTACAAAATTCAGAATATTGGCCTGCCCGATTGTGCATATTTTCCACATTAAACTAGATCACTATCTAAAAGGGAGTGACTGCATGTAACAGCTCATAAAAGTGGACAACAATGATGTGGCTAGTATCAAACCACCCGTCTTTCTCATGTTAACCTCCCTCCCTCCCTCCTGACCCCAAGTACCATAGAAAGCCTACTTTCCAAACATATATTTCCTTACCTTTTTGAAGTGATGAAAAAGCTTCCTCCTTGCCTGGCAGGGGTATCATATTGGGGTTACTGGAGTCTCTGGTAAAATTACATGAAAAATTTGAAAATTGGTTCAAATCCGTTTTGAAACAAGTGTAATATAAAAATAGCACTAAACCAACTGGCAAAATGTACATTTAAAATTACTACTAAAAAATAATCTCAAAGATAACTTTACTACACTACAGTACTGTACATGTGTAAGATCACATGACCACTACCATATCATTACAAAATATGCAGAATATATGTCACAATAATGTGACTGAAAACAAATAACCCAACTCACAAGTATGAAATGAAATGAGAGCGACTACATTTCGGTCCATTCTGGAGCCTTACGAAGTCATAACTCGTGACTTGACACATGTCCAGATTGGACTAAAATAGCAACACTTTCCACACACACACACACACACACACAAAAAAAAAACTCAATAGCGCGATATATCCAATGAACAAATCCACAAGGGCTGTGATGAGGGTTCGAACCTACGCCCGGGATGTTCCCTGCTGGGAACATCCTGTGTGTAGGTTCAAACCCTCATTATGGCCCATGTGGCTTTGTTCATCAACACTTTCATTTCATGTATGTAGGTTGGGTTATTTATTAGAGGACCCCAGACATTTAGGCGAGGTCACTTGCACACACCTGTGGAGACCAAGCAACTTCCACCTAAGGCTGTGACTTCTTCACAAGGCTGTAATGTGAATCAACAATGCACTGCATATCTTATTTTTTTATCTTGTCAGTAATCTTCCTTATATCTGATTTCATAGATGTGGAAGTTTTGTAGCCTATTATAAAAGTCCTTCATGGATACCAAGCAAATAAGCACAAGTCTATTTTAAACATAAATTTTTTTAAGACGTGAGCAAGTGCTCAGCCCTGGAGAATGCTTAGTCTTGTGTTAGAAAATGGAAAAATCTGAGCTTGGGAAGATTTCCATGAAAATATTAAACAAATATAATACACTTGCAAGCAGACAGGATGCACATTTTTGGTCCACCACAAAATGTTTATATACTGTACTGGTATTTACTTGCACATCATATTTTCCCTATGAAACCCACTTGAGAATCACTTTCAATAAATGTATGACAACGCATATTATATAGTCCCCATGGTGCAGTGGTAAAGCACTCACTCGGTGCTTCATGAGAGCTTCAGCCTGGGTTCTTATCTGGCCGGGGAGGATTGACTGGGCGCCAATCCTTAATTGTTGCATTTGTTCACCGAGCAGTTAATGCGTACCTGGTTGTTAAATTTGGTGGCTCGTACTAGTATTCCTGGGAAAAATTTGGATTAAGGACCTACCCGAAACACTATGTGTGCTAGTGGCTTTACAAAAATGTAAGAACATTTGTATATATATAAATAAAAAAATATATATGTAAAAAAAAAAAAAAATATCTAAATTACATGCATCTTTTATAGTAGAAAATATGGTATACAAAATACTATAAAAACCTAAGTTTATTATTTGGTTCAAAAGTCTTGAGAGCTAGAGTCATTCAAAATAAGAGTGGCTACAAGTGGCAAGAGGTGCTACTGGTCCAAAACACCAGCCAGTTCCTAACACTCATATGAAGTGGCACATGCCATATTTGGCCGGGTGTAGTGAATAGGCGACTGAATGGCGACAAGCAACCGACTCCGCAAGTTATCGTCCAACAGGACTGGTCCCAGGATGGTCTTGGAGAGTAGAACAACTCTCAAAATCAACTACAGATAAGCTACAGGTACTGTATTCCAATAAACATCCAGGAGATCCAGGGACAAGTCAAGAGTGGCTCAGAACAGCCTGGCTAATCACTGCCTTGGTGGTAGGTCAGAAAGGGAATGTAAACAAGGCCAGAGAAGGTATGTAAGCAAAACAACCATGTGTTATACCTTGGAAAAAGAGCACAATGTAAACATTTCAAATATCGTAAGCTTGTTTGTTACTCCTGAGTATATTCAACACTCACATTGCTGCTAATGCAATGAATACAATACTCTGCGGTACATTATTCTACTCTTACCTATTCATAAAAGGCCTTCTGCCACCTCTTCCTCTGCGACCATTGCTAATCCACGGACGGCCTCGACCACGACCGCGGCTTGATTCTTGATCCATGCTACCGATCCTTTCCCCAACATCTAATGAAAAAATGCATCATGATTTATGAAGTTTACAGAAAATCTAAGTGTAAAATGTTCATACATCAAACCTGCTAGTTACAAATCATTTTAAACCCAAATAAACCTCATCCTTTAATCTAAGGGTTCAAAATACAGTGTGCAACTAGTGGCTTTATGTACTATACAATTACTTTGCTTACCAGTATGTAGCCACTTTAATCATGTCCATTGAATGAATAAATTAAAAATAAAAATATTATTATTATTATTAAAAAAGAACCAAAATGCCAGTAACAAACACATGTAATCTACACACAGTGTCTTCTACCTTATGAGGAAAAAAATGAAACAAGGCTAGTTTTACGGTCGTGTATAATTTACACACTAACTACAAGAACATGATGTGCCTATATGAAAATATTGCTCATCATGGTTCTTCTGGTAGTGCGTGTGTCTCGGTAATCTAGGGATGTGGGCTTCATCCCACTGTACTGCACTAATATTTTCACACACATAATTTTATTATGATTGGTAAGGATATCCACTCACCGGCTGGTGGTGATGCAGAACTATTGTCTTTCTTCATCAAAGGTATCAGGTTTGGATTGCTCGATTCCCTGAAGGAGAGAAATGTTACATATATTTTAGTCATACAAATTAAATATACAATATATGCTATGGTTATCCATTATTGAACAAAAATAAAATAAAAAAGACTAGAAACCAAGAAATAGTAATCATTAACATTTATATTTTTCCTATCTTCATCATTTTATATAATGCCATTATAAACTTCCCAGACAGTCCCTTCACATTTTAGTGTGTGGCATCTCAGCATTTACTGTACAGTGGAACCTCGAGCGACGAGTGGCTCGAGTGACGAGTGGCTCCAGTTACGAGCATTTCGAGTAATGAGCAAGCCACACACAGAACATATGTCTCGACTGAAGAACTTTCGCTCGATTAACGAGTGTTCCCGCTAGTTCTCCGACACCTCCGACGACAGTTTTGTTATTGTTTCGCAAGAGGAGTTTTCCACATGAGCTCAGTGTCGGAACGGATTAAACTTGTTAATCGAGGCGCCACTGTTCTTGCAACACAGTGATCAATGACTAATCACTTGCAAAGTTTTACTAGCAATTCACAAGACCAGTCTTTCCAGTTTCTAAAAACTCATATAAATGATGAAAATCACCATTATGGTCAAGCCAAAACCCAACCAGAGACCCATACACTTACATGAACCTTGAATACTAAAGGTGTACCAATGCCATTGTTTTGCCCAATACCAATACATTGGCATATTGCTACTGAATACAGTACCAATATAATTTTCCGTTGTCAGTGAGGAAGCTCTTACTTGTGACTTATCGAGGGGACCCCTAGGCCAACTACCGACCCTCCCCCAGGATTACGGGCTATTCATGCCCGTGCCACCTCTTGGTTGGTTTAATCTTAATCAATCTCCCCCAGGATGCAACCCACAACAGTTGCCTAACTTCCAGGAATCTATTTTACAAGGAAAACAGAGACATCATGTGTAAGGAAGCATAAACAATTGTCTGTCCTGCCTGGGTATTGAACTTGGGTCCCTCAATTGTGAGCAGAGGTTGTAGACCACTGCGCTACAGGATAAACATTCAGCAGTGTCATACACACACCTCTTTCAATTTGTATCCTCACAATACACGTCTCTTAACTAATGCTATGATTCCTTATTTTTACCAAGCATCGAACTTGCACTTGAGTGCAATCATCTGGCTCTGTGTAATGCCCGATACGTAAACAATTACAAAGTACTGTAAATCAAACTTTTCGTCCAACTAATTTTTGAGATGCCATTTAACATTTTGCTCGTCACTGTATTTATTACAGGTACTCATGTTTAACTTTTTTTGGCATTTGTATTTACCTTTCCTGCATTGTGCTGCAACTCTCAACCATTTCTTAATAATATATTTTTTCGTTACTTGAACTCAAGTCCTCTATTTCTTTTGAGATGTTACACTATGTCTCAACATGTGCGTTTAAAAATGTATCCACTCATGTAAAAGACTTTCCTCGCTGTCCTGAGCCCATAGGCCTACCCGTCGATGGTTCTCAAGGTTAGCCCAAATGAGGATTTTTGTGAAAATTCCCCACCAGACCTCTCCCATGAAGTTGGCCTGGTGCTGGGGGTCCTCAATCCTAGTCATGACCACCACGTTGTTGGTGTGTGTTATCCAAGAGTATGAATATGTAAATTGGCTCTTGGGAAAATAAAATTTTCACAACAGAGAATATATACCTAGATAACATACCTTTCCCATGAATGCGGTCTGCCATTTTGGATCCCTGCTCCTCTGCTTTGGAACCTGCTACCTGGAGAGTGGCTAAATGTTCCTCTTCTACCCCTTTCACTCCATGGACTCCTGCCTCCTCTCATTCCTCGACCACCTCGTCTATCTCCTCGACCTCTTCCTCTTCTGTTTTCTGTGTATGTGTTCCATTTGTGAGCTCTGTCCCCGTCATTTTGGACCTCCTTTTCATTATCCCCTAAATGATCATTCTGTCGTTCAATCACAGAATAATTTCCTCGATTTTCTCCAGTGTCCTTTTTCCTATCTTTGTCACTTCTGCTTGTGCTTCTTCCTAGGTTTTCGCCACGTACTCTGTCCCATCCTCGACTTGAAGCCCTTCCACGACCAGTGTCACTACTTCGTCCTCTGTTCCCTCTGCGTTCTCTACTCTCACCTCGTCCCCTGATTGCACCTCTATTACTGTCATCATTTCTGAACATATTCTTTCTAAAGTATTTACCAGTATCTATAATACCACTGTCATCAGAATTTTCCTCCTCTTCATCTTCTGATTCACCATCCTCATCCAATTCATCATTGCCATTGCCTGATCCAAGGAAGAAAGTGCTCTTTTTACTCTTCTTAATTTTTTTGGCTGTTTTACCAAGGAAGAAGTCCTCATCTTCAGAATTGGAAATGGCATGGTCATCATCTTCAATTATTTCACTAATGTTTCCAAGATCCAGCTGCTTAACTTTAACGGTTCCCGATGTACTGGGAACCTTGTTAACAAGAGTACGGTTTGATTTGACAAAATCCACTTTCATTGTCACCCCATCACTTTCTCTGTCAGAGTTACTATGCATAGACTCCTTGTCTCCAACACTCCCGTCATCACTGTCAGAATTATCGCCAGGTTGCTCTTTATGTTTCAAATTCTGTCCTACTCTATGGATTACAGGTTCTGTTGATCTATCATCACTACTCTCAACACTTCCTTCACCTATTTCAGATTCACTCTCCTCTTCCGTACTGTTGCCATCGTTCTCTAAGGGTTCTTCAGCTAGAATGTCTCGTTTGACCCTTTTCACATCTGTAGCCTCATCATCGTCACCATCATCATCATCTGTGCTGTCACCAATCTCACCATCATCCACATTATTACTCTTCTTGCACTGCCTTTCTCTTATCTTTATTAAGCTATTGGCTTTACTGTTCTTCACAGATACTGTATTAGTTTCTCTCTCTTCTTTATTTTTACCTACGTGCTCTTGCTTTACACTCATCTCCCTCTTTCTTTTTCTACTTCTGCTGCTGGCTGGCTTCTTTTCAATTTTCTTGGTCAAATTCATTGCTCCCTGAATGATCTTAGGATCTATATCAACATCAGTCAGTTCCTGTAGGAGCTTGAGGCTCTGCTGCTCTTTTTCCAGGTACTTATCCAACTTGCCCAACCTCTTTAATCTCTTCAGCTTCTTCTCTCGATGACGAATTCCAAGACCCTGAAACACACAGTGTGAATTAAATCCATACAGTACTTGAAATAAAGGTACATCATCTGTCTTTAAAAAAGAGATCGTCTTTTCAGTTATATTATCGTTATCAACCCTTTTACAGTATTAACAATACAAAATTTAAGAAGTGCCTGGGAAAGGATTGCAAGATTCGAGGGTCAGATACTGAACAGTTCTGAAAAGTGTTATCGATTTACTTATGAGAAAATAAGGATGCCATGTGATGGGATCAAAGTTACATCTGAGGATACTCCAGCTGTACACGCACTACCGCACTTCAATAATATGAGACTGGTTTACAATCATTGCTTGATTTATCTGTTAGTTGTATACTATAAATGTCATACAAAAACTTTACATTTATTTGCACTGACAAATACTAACCTTGATCAAAAGTGGAACCTCTTCTGCCCAGCGTGGATACTGCTCTCGAAATTCCTTTACTGCAACACTCAGGCTTTTGTGTTCTGCCAGACGACACAGTGCTCTCTCCTCTATCCTTGCCTTTGGCTGTGGAAAATACTCATTTAAAATACAGTACATACAATTGGTCAAACATCAAATTCACTGATGAAACAGTTCTATATCTTTGGTGCCACCTTCCTTCTGGAAGCTTGCCATACTTAAGAGAATCTGCCTCTGAAATATCAAATCACCTTTAAGCACTAAAATTCCTGCATTGAACATAATGGATTGCCTCCTTCTGGTGGGACCCCTTGCTGGCTTCCTGAGCAATCAACAAAAGCCCTCCTTGAAACTTCAGGGTTATCATTTAAAACATTTGCCAATGAATTCCACATCTTACTCTATTACAGAAATTAAGTAGTTAACATTATTCATTTAAGTGGAAAAATTAAAATATCTCTAAAGAATTAAATGCCTCAGATCAAATCTGTCAAGTGCTAGAACCATAATCTGTTCAATTACACTAAAATAAATTATACCTTCTATCAATTCAAATCCTATTTACCTTCTTGCTGGTAAAATAATAACGTCAATAAATCTATTACCAACAAAAGACAAATGGGTTAGGTTATTGTAATTAGTTGCAAATATTTTGAATGGCTTCATTGCAAACAAATTTAAATGTTGAATTTTGTATACTAAGTATATTTACGGTTCCAGCAAGTCATGACGATAAGAGAGGAAAATGCAAGATTGAATTTGAGGGAAGGAGGGGTAAGAGAGGAAGACCTAATAGAAACGGGTACAGATGAACCGATAAGTGTGTGAGGAAGCAAGCATTGTGTGTGAATAACACACACAATATATAATAAGGGAGAGGGCTGGGTGATAACAGTTTGAAGGGAATGAATGTGTTGCGTGGACAATGTAAGCGGAACTCGGGAAGAACTGTACACTACAAACAGCGTGGAGCTGCTGTGGATTGCTTAAAAGTGTGTGCTGGTGCTTGTTTATCTGTGATGATGCACAGAATATTGATAATAAAGAATGGATGATTTTTAACAAAAGATGTATGACTATCTTTCATTATAATGCTCCTCTGTTCTCTCTGGGCTAATGCCTCCCTACCACATATAAATAATGATTATTATTTGATTATTACATATTCAGTATTTTTATAAATTTTAACAATGGAGCAAGATATACAGTTCTACTTACATTTCTAATGACTGCTGAAAACGACTTCTTATTCAGAATGACAAATTTCATTATTTCACTCGGAGCCATGTGCTGAAATAATTAATTAAGATTAACACTAAATTTGTACAAATGAGACATCTTTAGCATGTACATCTACATGTAGGCAATACACATTTTGTGAAACAGAGTATATTTAAATGCTGGAATGCCTCTGAGCTTGCACAAGGCCTATTCTATTGTTATGTAGGAATTTAAGTTAGGGTCAGTTACTGGGCAAGATTTGTTTTGATTGCTGTCTCCTTGCTATTGTGTACCACGGCATGTTTATTCCTCTCGATGGTCTTGTTCACTATCATCTCTCTTAACCCTTACATGGCTCAAGTCGCTCTCTGTGGTTTCCTTCTATGCTCAAATCATTTGAGATTTTTTCCCCCAATTTGATATACAGTATAACTATTTTTTAGTCAAGCACACATCAACATAGTATTTTTAAACAGCTGTGTAGTTTAGAAATTAAAGCAAGCGATAAGAAATCATTATAAAACAAAGGGAAATTTAATCAAATATTTTATTATTCACTATACCTGTACTGTAATTAACTATCTACTTATGCCAACCCTTATTAAAACCAATATACCTTCAGAGCCATAATTTCTTCCACGAGCCTCTCAGCTTTGCGGTTAAATTTTGTCTTCTTGGTCTCTTCATCAGGCTTTTTTTCGCGTAATTTCCTAATCTGCCGTACTAGCCTCTTGATCACGTGGTCCTTTCCTTGTCGTGCCAGAGGTTTCTTCTGTACCATCTGTGAAAATGATGAAGTCAAATCAACAACATTAGCATGGATGATTAGCATTAGTATGTCTTTGATAGCTTCTGCTAGTCACTCAAGCAATATTATCTTAATTTGCAAATGTCATAAGGACAATTAAAATATATTCATTTTATATTATGCACAAAGTGGTTATGAAGTAGCAAAGCGAGGTAGAATACAGTATATCAGCTGTAATTTACAGCTGATTTATAATCAGCTGTAATGTATATCAGCTGATAATTCACAGGAAAATTTACATGTAAACAGTCTTCCAATAGCCAAGCGTATCGGATCACACACAAGCATTTCTTACCGATACCTGGATGTCAAGAAAGACTGGCACTACAGTGTTGGTATATATATTGTTCAAATAAAATCTTATAAGGTTGTAATATTTTTTTAATCACATAGGCATTCCTTACCATATTTGATTTCAATATCTGGTTATGACTCACATTTCAAATGTAATTTAACAAGACCATTGTTAAAATATATATATATATATATATATATATATATATATATATATATATATATATATATATATATATATATATATATATATATATATATATATATATATATATATATTATATATAATATATATATATATATATTATATATAATATATATATATATATATATATATAATATATATATATATATATAATATATATAATATATATATATATAATAGTAGTAGTAGGCATCCTTCAGTCTCGGGAGACTATGGAGTTGCGCCCTAGTTGTCAATCCTGGTGCAGCGTCTGGTGTGACTGATGAGGCCAATCCGAGAGTGGCAGTCCTTCCCACACCGAGCACAAACGAAGTCCGATTCTGGTCTGTCTTCCTGGTTACCGGCTTTCCTTCTCTGTCTCTTTGCCTCCGATTCCTTGGCAAGTGACTCCTCGAACTTGGAGAGACCTCTTTGAACAGACTGCCTCCAGGCTGAACGGTCTGCAGCCAGTGTCTCCCATATAGCAAGATCGACGTCCATGGCTTTCAGGTCCCTTTTGCATACGTCTTTGTACCGTAGCTGGGGCTTGCCTACTGGACGCTTTCCCTGCCTCAGCTCTCCGTACAGGAGATCCTTGGGGATCCTGCCGTCGCCCATTCGCACAACGTGCCCGAGCCAGCGCATTCGTCTCTGTTTCAGCATTGTGTACATGCTGGTGATTCTTGCTCTCCCCAAGACGTTGTTGTTTGTCACCTTGTCCTGCCAGGTGATGTCCAAGATGTGTCTAAGGCAGCGCATGTGGTAGGCATTCAGCCGTCTTTCCTGACGGGCGCGGAGTGTCCAAGACTCACTGCCATAAAGGAGAGTGCTCAGGACACAGGATCTGTAAACCTGAATCTTAGTATACTCAGTTAGCCTATTGTTGGCCCACACTCTCTTTGTCAGTTTGGACATGGTAGTAGATGCCTTACCGATGCGTTTGTTTAGCTCCGTATCAAGAGAGAGGGAGTCAGAGATTGTGGAGCCCAGGTACACGAAGTCGTGAATAACTTCCAGTTTGGAATCAGAGATGCCGATGTCAGGTGGGGAGTCCACTCCTTGTCCCATGACTTGTGTTTTCTTCAGACTGATGGTGAGTCCGAAAGCCTGAGAGGCCTCGCTGAAGCGGGTTATGAGCCGTTGGAGGTCTTCAGCTGAGTGGGCAGTGATTGCTGCGTCGTCGGCAAAGAGGAAGTCGACGATATATATAATATATATAATATATATATATAATATATATATATAATATATATATATATATATATATATATATATATATATATATATATATATATATATATATATATATATATATATATATATATAACACCCGAGACTAGTAGTACCCACTTAGTATAGTTATTATTGACTATAATAACTTGTCCAACCTTCACCGAAACTTGAATATTTCGAATTTGGGGGGGTTTGAGCATTTTAATGTAAAGTACAGTATTATATACTGCATGTTAATAGGTTGAGATTTTGTTGCTTGTAATAGCAAGAACCACATAAAGGCTCCAAGTGAAGGTTTTCAGACATGTACAGAAAACTGCAGTTTTAGAGTAATATTAATGGGCAAACAAATGTAACAGATCAGAAATATACTCTAATAACTTATAATAATATAGCTGAAACAATAACTCAACCCACATATATTTAATTTCATTCATGCATGGATTGAGTTACTTACTCTATTATACAGTACATTTATTCATCAACTCGGCGATATTCTCTTATACTTTTGTTTACAGATAATCATTGGTTTATTTTTTTGATGTACAGGGTACCAAGAATAAACTATTATCATTCCAACTTTAATTATCATGAACTGACATGTTCTAAGTGGCTAGTTTTTTTCCATGAAGCTATCCCCATAGTTGGGTGTCCCCACACTAAGACACCCTAGAGAAACCACGGTAACAAATCATGGGAACTAGCTTCAAATGCTTCAACTGTGAACTTTAAATATATTAAATTTATGAACTATGGGTGCATCAACGTTTTGCCAGAAACGCTATGCGTGCTAGTGGCTGTACAAGAATATAAAATCAACTTCATTTCTATGTTCTCTCTTAACCCCCAATGTACCTTCTTGTATATAAATAAATAAATAAATATATTGATATTGGTGTACAGTATCTGAATTTTTATAGAACAGTATCAGAGAAACAGTAAGTCAAAAAGATATACAGTACTGTATCTGCTTTGGAGAAAGTTCAGTACTGGGCAATGAAAATCATACTTGAACTAAGTCGACTCTCATACCAGAAACAGTTGAGGGCCAAAGGGTTAATAACACTGCAAACCAGACATGATATGACTGATCTCAACAACCCTTTTAAAATACTGAACAACTTAAGAGAATACTGCTCCAGACCACCTCTTTAAAAGGTCACATTTAGCATGAACAAGGAATAACAATTTCAAGCTCAACAAGCCACAATGTACTACAGAAAATAGGAGAGGTTTTTCACCCATAGGGTTATAAATCCATGGAACTGCCTACCCATTGAAGCTGCTGAAACACTGCTGAAAATCAAGATCCAGCTGGATAAAATCGTCAGGAAAACTGAGGACCCTTGAAAAACCATCAGCTTCGTGTTCTTGTTGAGATAACTAGTGAAATAGTGGCTCCTCAGGTAAATTCAGGTAATACTTTACTTTAAATACTTTAGTTAAAAGAACAGGCATTGCTTAAAGTTTAAAAGCGTTTATCTAACATATTGTTAACACAACATGAGCCTAATTACTCCCATGCTGATTTTCATATAGCATTACAGTACAAATATAAGTAATAAGATGGTTGATTATCTTCACTTACAAAATTGTTGAGAATTAGCTTGGTAAGCTGTGCAGAGCCCGAGTCTCCCATGATGAAGGTGAGCGATGGGACAAGGTCTTACGAGGAGGGAAGTCTTCCAAGAGGGTGAGTTTTTATGAGGGAACGAGGTATAACGAGGTGGGACAAAGTCCTATAAAGGTGCGAGGTCCTAATAGGGGGCGAGATCCTACAAGGGTGAGAGGTCCAACGCGGAGGCCAGGTGCTCTAGGAGTGAGGTACCACCAAGGTGGTCACACCGAAGGTGATGATTTCTGAGGGTGTGGTCCTCTAAGGATTGTCACAACGAGGGGGAGGTCCTCCAAGGGTTGTCACAACGAGGGTGTGGTCCTCCAAGGGTTGTCACAACGAGGGTGAGGTCCCACCAGGGTGAAGGAGCAGGAGTAATAATAGTCCAGCAGCTGGGGACGACCACGAGGACCTCTGCTACTTACACCCGCCTCAACCTCGCACTATCACACCACTAATCTTCAAATCAAAACATTATCTTTTGATAATATATTGTTTACTAAATAACAAATATAAATATATACCTTTAAGCTTAAAATCACGTTTAAATCACTATTTTAAATAATAAAAATGTAAAGAAACTCATCAACGTGACCTGTAGTTATTGATGTGTTTGTTGTGTTCTTTACTGGGGAGGGGAAGGGAGAATGTATATAATAATTGCCAGAATTTATCTGAGGGGCCAATAGTACTCTAGTGCTTAACGAGGACAGGAAGCCGATGGCTTGTTAAATGTCCCCTCCCATTTGCCTTGATTATTTTTTTTTCCAGCTGGATTTTAGCATTTCCAGATTCGGCGGGTAGGCGGTTCCATGGGCTTATAACCCTGTGGGTGAAAAAGCATCTCCTGTTTTCTGTGCTACATTGTGGTTTGTTGAAGCTGCACTCACCTAGTTGTGTTTGCGGGGGTTGAGCTCTGGCTCTTTGGTCCCGCCTCTCAACCGTCAATCAACAGGTGTACAGGTTCCTGAGTCTATTGGGCTCTATCATATCTACACTTGAAACTGTGTATGGAGTCAGCCTCCACCACATCACACTTGCTCCTTGTTTGTGTTATATCTGATCTTTGGAAGAAATTGTCTGATTGAACATCCTCCAAATTGTTCAGTATTTTAAAAGCTCCGATGAGATTACAATAATACATATAATTCTTTGTAATAATAATTCGTTGTGTCGGGGACAGGCAGCCATGCAGAGTGTGTTTATACAGGTTAGACTTATATCGAGGCCCCCGTCCCCCGAGGTCGAATTATAGACAAGAAGAATGCAACCCCGCAAGAAGCTGTCTAACTCCTGGGTACTTTCTTGCTGCTAGGTGAACAGGTGCATTAGGTGATAGAAAATACGCCCAACCATTTTTGTCCCGCCCTGGATTATTGTAATATAATTACAATATTATTGTAATTATATTATTATAATTATATTATTATAATTATATTACTGAATTATATTATTATAATTATATTATTGAATTATATTATTATAATTATATTATTTAATTATATTATTGTAATATAATTACAATAATTATATAATACAAATGGCTCATTTTAATTGCATTCAACTCTTTTAAGATATATTGTGACATGATCGTGTCTGAAGTTTGACACAAATACAACAAAATTATTAATGATGGTAATAAGAGTCCATTTAATGTGCATTCCATCACATGTTGGCCTTCGAATGCATTAGCTGATGAGTTAGCCAACAAAATCTGCCATCAAAGAAGGAGTTGACTACAGCCTTGGATTACCTATCAAGAATTTGAGAAGAATAATACATCAAGAACGTCAACAAACCCTTGAAGATCTGAGGCAAAGTGAAATCTTCACTTACTGATGATTGATGAAGATTAAGCCACCCAAGAGGTGGCACGGGCATGAATAGCCCGAAATCTTCACTTACAGTGTCATCTATCCTCATAAATATCATGCAAGAAGAGCCACACATCTACGGATCATCCAATAAAATCAGCACTCTTAGATGTTATTACTAATCGTTTCAAAATTCAAAATTCAAATGTTTATTCAGGTAAAGTACATACATACAAATTGAAATTGAAAATTGAAATAAGTTTATTGAGGTAAAATACACACAAAGGGATGAGGTAGCTCAAGCTATTCTCACCCCGTTCAGTACATCGTGTGAATACAAGACACACATCACAAACAATAAACATATTACCAAACATTCTGAGAGATAAACATATACATTTCCTCCTTTACACAAGTAGTATGGTATCAGACGTACACATAAATACTCTTATGACCTATACATACAAGGTGTGATACAAACATTGATGGATTTATAGATAGAGCTAGTTCATACAATGCCTAAAACCACTATTACGCAAAGCGTTTCGGGCAGTTGTTGTTGTTGTATTAGATTTAGCTACTCAGAACAAGATGTCCATGTAGCACGGGCTATAGTGAGCCCGTAATTGAGTTCGATTATTCGCGATAACCTTGTTTCTGTGATATTTGGGTCAGAGTTTTAAATGGAGGTGGGGGTTCCTCATTTTCTCCCGTTTCTTTTCCGCTTCTGTTTTAGCGCACTGGTTTTAGTCTTGTTTTAATAACGATATCTTGGTGGCGGATATAAATGCAGAGTGTTTACAAGTGTGTCGCATTCTTGACACAAAATTATTTCCACACCTTCCGTCACTATGTGATGGAGTGCGAAAAGATACGTGAATTCAGACACAACTCTATAACAAATGCTCAAGAGATGTGCAAATATTGCATTCAAAATGATCTGCTACCAGAAGTCTTAGTCAAATATCCCAAGTTTGCTAACTGTAGGTAGTAACTAAATTTTTGTAACCTATCCACCGCTGCCCACTGGATGGGGGGCGGTGTGCAGGACAAACATATCAATTGTGACACTAGGCTCTCCACATATGTCAGTTGCTTAATTTAGAAACTGTACTTGTGGTCGGTCTCCAGCCCATTGTTGATGTGACGATGTGCACTGAATTTTGTAACCAGCTCATCAAGATTGTAACTTGCTTAGCTAAATGAATTGTGGGGTTCAGTTCCTGTGCCCATTATGTGCCTCTGTAACCCTTTCCACTACCGCCCACAAGATGGGTATGGGGTGCATAATAAATGAACTAAACTAATTCACCCTTATCTTAAAAAAAAAGTAGGAAAACTCAACAGAAAACTAGCGACCGTTCAGCCTAGCCTCATACATCTACACGCTCACGGAGAGAATCATTCCCTGTCTAACACTGCACAATCTAGTAAAATCAACACATGTTTTTCGTTTAAAATAAATTCTACGAAGGAGACGGAAAGACCCAATACATAAGTAAGTGTATTGTGTACAATAAGTGTATTGTGTAAGTGTATCCTGCCCGAAACGCTTTGCGTAATAGTGACTTTAGGCTTCATATGTACTAGCTCTATCTATAAATCCATTGAGGCCTTATGAAGAGATCTTCACAACTCTATAAATAGTCTGACGATGGTCAAATGTTTCTTTGTTAATTTTATATTGCGAGAGCTTGTTTCTTGGGCATAACAGAACACCTGACCATTATCTTATCATCAACAACACTACCAGTGATAGGAGACAGCCTAGAGGACCTTGCAGGACCGTGCACCACTCACTGCAAGGTGTACAGTGAGTGACAGCTGCAGGAGAAAAAGTCAACCAAACCTCAGCAATTGCACAAAAAAACCTTAACGTTAAGGAAAAGAAAGTTGTTATTTAAGCGTGCGAGCCTCTGGCACGCCACCAACTACATTATTCAAATTCAATTCAAATTTTTATTCAGGTTAAAAGTACATATATAGAAGATGAGTTACAAACATAATGTTGGATTTATAGATAGAGCTAGTACATACAATACCTAATACGCATGTTTCGGGCAAATTACTGCACCCAGATACGGACACCTCGCTGTCAAAATTACATACCTGCTTTGGAGGTAGTTTAACGCAGAATGATTGATTGATGAAGATTAAGCCACCCAAAAGGTGGCACGGGCACGAATGGCCCGTAAGTGGTGGCCCTTTTGAGCCATTACCAGTATCATATGTGGAGATCTGTGGAGGTGCGGCTGCACCCTGCGTGACGGGAGATGTCTCCCGTCTTTTAACGCAGAGCGATAATATCCTCAATAAGTTAAGGGCCACCGGACTAACAACACTACAAACCAGACAAGATAGGGCTGATCTCGCGGAGACCTTTAAAACACTGAACAAATTGGAGGACATTAAATCAGACCACTTCTTCAAAAGGTCAGATGTAACACAAACAAGGAGCAACAGCTTCAAGCTCAACAAGCCACAGTGTAACACAGGAGATGCTTCTTCACCCCACAGGGTAATGAAACCCATGGAACCGCCTACCCGCCGAAGGTGTAGATGCCAAGACACAACTGCAGTTCAAAATCTACCTTACGAAGCAGAACCATGAACCCAAATCCGACCCCCAGCAAGACCAGGCAAGTGAGAACACACACACACACACACACACACACACACACACACACACACACACACACACACACACACACACACACACACACACACACACACACACACACATAGGGGCCTCGTAGCCTGGTGGATAGCGCGCAGGACTCGTAATTCTGTGGCGCGGGTTCGATTCCCGCACGAGGCAGAAACAAATAGGCAAAGTTTCTTTCACCCTAAGTGCCCCTGTTACCTAGCAGTAAATAGGTACCTGGGAGTTAGTCAGCTGTCATGGGTTGCTTCCTGGTGTGTGTGTGTGTGTGTGGTGTGGACAAAAAAAAAAAAAAAAGTAGTTAGTAAACAGTTGATTGACAGTTGAGAGGCGGGCCGAAAGAGCAAAGCTCAACCCCCGCAAAAACACAGCTAGTAAACACACACACACACACACACACACACACACACACACACACACACACACACACACACACACACACACACACACACACACACACACAATCATACAAAACAAACAGCCACACAGTTTGGTAGAGTACCGAGAGTGATCTTCGCGTCCCAAGCTCCCAGCAAGTGTGGGGAAACCATTTATCAAACCCAAAACGTTCACGTGTTTGAAATACAGAGAATAATAACAGGATGGTCGTTCCCAATGATAACATGTTGCCAGAGATATCTCAACCTTTGGTTCTCGTAAAGCGAGCAACATGGGGTACAGACACGTACCACAGCTGTGGACCAACACAACATGGGGTACAGACACGTACCACAGCTGTGGACCAACACAACATGGGGTACAGACACGTACCACAGCTGTGGACCAACACAACATGGGGTACAGACACCTGCTACAACTGTGGACCAACACAACATGGGGTACAGACACCTGCTACAGCTGTGGACCAACACAACATGGGGTACAGACACGTACCACAGCTGTGGACCAACACAACATGGGGTACAGACACGTACCACAGCTGTGTACCAACACAACATGG